AACCAGGCTCTTGCTGCTGGAGGCCCACTGCCCCCACATATCCATCACAGCCTGGCTGATCTGGCACCTGGTGAAGATATTTGTCCAGTTTCCTTTTGAAGGCTTCTACACTCGTTTCAGCAGTGTTCCCGATATCTTCTGGTAAGATGTTGAATAATCTGGGACCCCGATGTTGATAAAGTGTTCCCTTATTGTCCCCACTGCATCCCTGCTCCTCACTGGGTTTATTTTACACTTCCTCCCATATCTCTCACTCATGTATGTTGTTATGGCAGTGTGCAGATTTGGGACCAGGCCCTCGAGTGCCTTCCAGGTATATATTATCATGTATCTCTCTCTCCTCCGCTCAAATGGTGCCAGTAGTTTAGGTGCTTTACTGGCTCAATGTGAGCAGCTAACGATCTTTGTATTTGTTCCAGCTCCGAAATTTCTCCTGCTTTGAACAGGGCCGTCAGCACTGAGCAATATTCTAAGTGAGGGAGCACTAGTGATTTGAAGAGTGTCACCATTGGCATTATTTCCCTTGCTTTGAAAGTTCTCAATACCCACCCCGTCATCTTCCTGGCTGTCGTGATCTTTATCTTGTTATGGTCTTTAAAAGAAAGGTCAACCGACATCATAATTCCCAGGTCTTTTACATGTTCTTTACGTTCTATTTGGCGACTCTTGAGTTTTGCATATACGTAGTGTTCCTTCTGAGTCCTTCATTCTTTCCATACCTAAGCATATTTTAAATTGCTTCAGTGTCCCCAACCAAACACTTTATGTAATTTGCTGTGATGATACAAAAGTTAAGGAACCCATAATGCATAACTATACAGCTACTTCAGCCCTCAGATTATTATAATAATATTCATGAGGAAACACTAAACCCGCAAGGGTCATATGACACCTGGGGAATGGGAGGTAGATAATTACGTTTGACCCAAGGAAGGAAAGGGTAGCTCCAATTTTTTTCTGATTAATTTAATCAGAGATCATAATTGGCAATAAGGGTGCAGCCCTCAGACAGCTTCCCTACAAGGATTAACCACAGGACACCTTCAAATAACCTTGTCTAAAACTGATTTTCTAGCCTGTTCTATACCCCTGTAACCTTCATAACACAGTATTTGCATAACAGTAATCTTCCAGTGGTTACAGAACCAAAACCTTGGAAGGGTGATCTGTTGAGTAAACCTGACCTCCCTCCTTCCCATCCTCAAGATGTGGGCAGCAAAACAAAGGAAAATTCCTAGGTCAGTTCCTAGACAGCAACTTAAAATTCAACACATTACAAAAAAAGTATCCAAATCAGTTGGCCTCCTCTCCAAGATACATTACCATGTACATACCTCAAACAGCATTACTTACGTTCTAATACTCTTTAATCTACCCCTATCTCACCTATGCTATTTGTGCCTGGATATCAACTAAGCAAATCAACTTAAGCCAAAAATAACAAAAATGAATGACCACCCAGTCCACTGAAAGGACAATACAATTCTCTACTCTTCCAAAGCCTAAACCTTTGAATATACATAAAATTCACTTACACATTTTTTTAACACATTAGCTGTCTCCCAATAAGGCAAGGTGACCAAAAAAAGAAACACTTTCACTGTCATACACACACAATCACTGTCTTTGCAGAGGTGCTCAGATATGACAGTTTAGATGTCACTCCAAACAGCCAATATCCCAAACAACTCTTAAAGTACAGGCATTGTACTTCCTACCTCCAGGACTCAAGTCTGGCTAACTGGTTTTCTTGAAGCCCTTCACAAAATATTACCCTGCTCACACTCCTGCAGCTCGTCAGGTCCCAAAAACCATTCGTTTCCATTCTAACACACTAACAAATGCCTGTTGCATGTCCAAGCCACTTCCACACAAAACCTCTTTTACCCCCTCCATTCCTGAAACTCCTTGATAGTTGCATCAGAACTCTCAGACATAATACTAGACGCAAAAATCTCTGATATTTCCTGTGTCTTGCTCAATCTTTCCAAGAACTCAATATGCATAAAAGGACCTAAAATCTAGAAAAAACTACCTGAAAATTCAAGTACGTATATATCTATCTGCCAGCAACTTCAAATCTGTTAAAAAACACCTCCTTTCCTGAATGTGATCCTAACTGAATTTATTATACTGAACAATTCTTTCATCCTGTATTGTCCCTGCCCTTGCTTATCATTCCTTCAGCTCGTGTACCTAGCTTCATCCTTGATATATCATTATTTATATTAATCAGTGACCATGAAAGCATCAGTTAAATAAATTTCACATACATGCTAAAAATCAAATTTGTTTTAGAATTTGATTTTTTCTTTGATTTTTTTTTTTTTCAACATTTTATGATATTTAAAGCCTTCCCCCAGATTGAAATCCTAGCATAAGCTCCTCACACCTTGAGAATGAAACACTGGATATGCCACTGAAAATGGATAAAGTAAAGTCCTTGAACTTCAAGGATTATAGAATAAATTAAAACACTCTTTTCAACATTATCATGTGTTACAGTGTATTGTAAAATACCCCTGAATACAAAAAAAATATTCTGCTCAGAGTGAGTTTTGGAGGCAATTTTATACTTTACTTTTTAAAAAAAAAATGCTGTACATATCTTCAAAAATCCCTGCACAATTCTGCATAAAACAGAAGTTGTATGACCTCTTTTAATATATATCTGCAAATATAAAATCATCACCAAGTCTAATAATAATAATCAGGAAAAAATTTACCGTGCTATGTCCTTATCGTACAATGTCCTTACTTGGACCATTTACATCTTTACACGCTTTCCCCTCCTAGTTGCTCAGAAAAACAACAAATAATGACACACAATCCAAATAATCATAAAATATGTGGTAAAAAAAATGCTAAACAGCCCCCTCCCTAAGACTTACTTAGTCCCCTCATTAAGACTCCAAGTTGGAACGGAATGATGTCTTGTCCTCTCACTAACGATGCCTTTGACAAAAGTAACATATAGATATGCAATTAGCATAGTAAACAAAAGCTATGCATAAATATGCACTAGTAATACCCTACAACTTCCAATATTAACTTCAAGTTATGTGTAAGGAGCACTAGAGACTAAACTGGCATCACTGCAAGACCACAACTACACTAACATCGAGCTTTGAAACTGCAATTGAAAGTCCGCTAGTTCCATCACCAGTACTTCTTATATAATTTCTTACTTTTCAATATAGCAAGATTCTCATTTCAATACAAATTTAACCTGAGGATGAAAAACCACCCTAACCAGAGATGTGTAACAAACAGTGAAGGCTAAGGCTCTGTAGCTCTATAACCTCCTCAAGGGAGGTTCCTCAATGCAGGCAAGGGGCTTTAGATACAAAGAACTGTACCTGCTTTTCTTTAATCTGGCTGCCTCCCATCCTCACATGCTTAATGACCCTTGGGAGTTTAATGCTTAACAATAATAATTATGACAAAAACAATGATAATAATAATAGTATTAATGATAATTATAATAATAATAATAAAAAACAAGAAAAGAATAAGGTGACGAGAGTAACAAAGTTCAAGCAGTGACTGAATATCAGATTGGAGGGGGTATGGAGGAAATGAATTTATTTTAATATTTGGGGGTAGGCATGTCAGCAGATAGGTCAACGAAACACTAGGTGAATTGTAGAATAGATGAGGGAAAAAAAGGTGGGTGGTTTGCTGAGGCTTCTGCAGAAAGTTTATCTACGGAGGCAAAACAAGGAATGTACCAGAGTACACCTTTATAAGAGTGTGAGGAATGGGTTTTGAATGCTGCAGTGAGGAGATGGCTGGAGGCAGTAGAAATGTTATGTATGGGAGCAATGTGAAGTGTGAATATTACGCTGAGAATTTGGAGCATGGAAATTCCAAGACAATATGGGGATCTACAAGGATATAATTCAGAGGGCTGAGAAAGGGTTGCTGAGGTGGTTTGGGCATATGGGAAAGGGGGTGGAAAGGGATAGGATGATGAACAGGGTATATACATCTGGGGAGGAAGGTAGGTGGATGGTTCAAACATCATGTAGACTTTTATTGCAACCATGGAAACTATGGAGCAATTCACAACTAACCCACAAACTGGCAATAAAACTAAAACAACATTTCAGTCTGTCTTGGACCAATATTAAATTACACTTTGATAATAGTCCAGGATGGATCGAAATGTCATAATTTCATTTGAGAATTTAAATCCTGTAGATCTTCAGTTAATATGCACAGTATCGGTATTCATAAATTTAGCATTCGATAAGCAATTATTTATGGTATAGTTTCATGATGTCCCGCAAAAAAAAAAAAAATATATTACTGTACTCAAATAATTTGCAGATCTCAGCAGCCAGTACGAGTTATTATAAATATATAACAGTAAACCAATATCATAATTATATGCCATATAAGTAATGTATATGGCATATGGGAATCGGCCAGTGTGCTAATAATAAAAAAAAAAAAAAACGTAATGTACAGCACTAAACAAACTAATGATTGTTCCACTGTTTATTGCAACAAACATTTTCCTTTGAATATGGTGATCACAAGTGTTATTTGCTGACATGGTACAGAGTGTGCCTCTAGGAATGCAAGCCCCAAACTTTCTTCTATACTGCTGAAGCATCTCATTAATATCCACTGTACTTACAAAGTTGATTCATCTGGTGAGACCGATGCCCCTGTTCTCTCTCACTTACATAAAAAAAAATCCTTCAATATAAAAAAGTTTCTCCAGCTACCATACCCACTTAATCTCCTTATTATTATTTACTCGACATATTTAACCACAACAAAACAAATACGAGCTTGCACATTACCAAACATTAAAGATTTCGATGTTTGTTAAGATTGCAAAAGTTGCATATACTTTCTTTTCTTACCTTCCACCTGTTTAAACAATTGTAGCAAGAGCTTGCATTTTCAGTCACCACCTTCCACATGTTTAAGAACAATTTTATATACACCAAATTGTTGCAAGTCAGAAATAATATATCAATACTCACCGCTCGTCGTACCTCCTAGAGTGGGCATTCCTACGTCTCACAACTGCCTCATTCTTGATATTTTTGTGTTCATTTTCAGAGGTTGACGATGAAGAGTTTGTTGTAGCTGCTAGAGATGACACAGTTGTTGCTGTTGTAGTCACCATGGTTGTCATGTTAGAGGAGACCTTGGTGCAAGACGAGAATTCTCTAATGTTAATCGTTTGTGTTTCGTCCTTCCCTTTCTCTTCCCTCTCTCTGCTTCTTTCCTTTGATCGGATTGGTTCAATCTGTCTCAAGGCTTCACCAAGGTCATCTTTGGACTTGATTGGTTCAACTTGTCTTAATGCTTCTGCAAGATCTGCCCGGTGATGTTCAGTCTTAAAGGGATCAACCTTATGTGGGGTATCACTCTTGTGAGAGTCATCCTTATGTCGAATAGGATCAATGTCTCGGATGGATTCTGCTATATCGCATTCTGGTCCTTGTGGAGTGTTGTTAGCTGTAGTAAGTGTCACATCATCTGTTATAAAAGAAAAAAAGCTCACTAAGCATTTTGTTTTTTTACTGGATCAGATATTTCTCATCAAGATAGAATGATCTCAACAGTGGAAACACATTCACCAACACTATTATTAGTAATATTATTACACTGATGGAGGAGTGCTAAACCCATAGGGGTCCCTGTTCTTCTAGTCTTCCCCAAACTCCGAAAGAAAATTGATTACTCATCTTCTCCCATTATATTTCTACTGTAACTAAGTAGCTTCCTGTATCTTCACCATCTCAATCACTCAAGATAGTGCAATGGACAAGTGAAGTAGCAACATCAACACTCGCAGCAAGAGGCATTCTCGAGCTTTCCCAGTGCTCGGGCTTCGGCCCAAAGCTGGGGTGTTGCTCCAAAAAAGAATCCTGTAGTGCTTGCTGCCTTTGCACGTCCTGACATCATCTGCTGCTATGTAGCTGCCATACCCTTCGAGCCCAGTGTGGGCAGCGTTTGTGGCAGCTCGAGTTGCCTAGCTTCTCCCTCCGAGCCCCGTGGGAGCAGGGAATGGAGCTAGGCCTGGGGACAGCTCGTCTCAGAAGACAAGGAGGTACATGTACTTGTACCTCCTCCCATGGCAGACATTGGTCTGAGACACTCCCACGAAAGGGAGCCAAGGCCAGGCTACCTCTTGGAAAAGGCCTGGGCCAGGCCATTATACCAGCGAATCTATTACCTATCTCAATCACTCCATGAAACTGAAGATCATTGAATCAGTTTGAAATAATAAGGCATACTTTTGAAATTGTACTGTTTGCTCATTAGCTACCTTTCTTATTGTGCATATAATTGTAGTTAACTGTACATATTAGAAATACTACTTAAATCTATGCTAAAGAGTAATAATAATAAATAAATAAATAAAGTATATCAAGAACCAATTTCCTTTAACATGTTGTAGCAGCTTGTACATAAGTTACAACTCTACTGATTGCTGTAGAAAAAGTCAAGCTTAAAAGTTTTCCCTCTATATACATAACATATTAAAATTACTCTCTCTACACCCAAAACAGTCTCGAAAGAGGTAGTGTAGCTACAGTACATCTCTGTAAAAGCAGTGTAGCTGCCAGTTACACCAACTCCACCACACATTTCTGCAAGTTGTCAATTTAAAAGTCAACCATCAAGAACATCTTAAATTTATGGTAGATGAAATAAACTGATCAAGTTCATTTCATTGTATACAAGCTACAAGTGATTTTTACAGGCAAAGTATTCTGGAATATTTTCCCAGGAATGCATATTCATTTCTGAGTTTAAGATGAAACTGGTTGCATTTAACACATTTTTCTGATAATTGTTTTTATGGAACTTATCTCCATCATCAAGCAAGGGATTATTGTCTGTATTGTTACAAAGTTTATGTTGTGTAGAAAAATCCCAGTGAACAGCAAAAAAAATAAGAACTTCAGAAAACAAAAAAAATTTAAGCCTAAAGAATATACAATGCCAATACTCATACCTGATGATGAATCTGAAGAATGATCTGGTTCTAGGCTCTCAGATTCAGGTTTCAGTATAGATTTAATTTCTTTGGAGTCTCTAAGCTTGAATCCTTTTTCAGTACGCCCCTAAGCAGTTTGGCCTCATGTTCTGGAGATCCAATCGAAGGTGGTAATGGACTGTCAGATTTCAGGATTCCCCTTGGATGTTCTGACTCTGAGAAGGAGGCACGACGAGAGTCGGAAGACGAGTGCTTAAGGATAGATCGAGGGCTGTCACGCTGGGCCTCACGTGATCCTCCAGAACCATCACGTTTCAAGATACCTGAAAATGACAAACTAGAATTATTACCCTGCAGTCACTTATCTTATGGTAAAAGTAACTTTCAAATACTATATAAAAGGTTACTGTATTTTTAATTTACTTATGCTCATGCACATGCATTAGCTTGGGACTTGTACCTCCAGAAAATAAAGAAGCTAAAGAGTAAATATTCATAGTGCCACATTATTGGCTGTTACTACAACTATTTTTGCTTTTTACCAAGGTGAGGCAACCCAGAGAAGGAAACATCATCACCAGTCATCAAATAGCAGCCTTGCCAGAAGTGTGCAAACATCACAATTCAAATGACTTCGATCCTCAACATAACACACATCCTTCAAAGTACAGATGCCATATTTCTCACCTCCAGTACATGGTCTTAGCTAACTCATTACAGTTATGGTAGTGTAGAGATTTACTGGCTCACAAGTGTGCAGATCCACGGAAATTCTAATAGGAGAGGCTTAGGAGTGGCAATCTGGTTCAAAAGGTGGGCTAGGGGACTTGTTTTAGAGCTGCATTATTATTGTATTAGTAGCAGTACTGATTTGGACTACAACCCTTCTAGCCACATTTCCCTTTGTGACATCACTGTATAGTATCAATGATATACAGGCCAGTAGATGCATACACCAGACAAACAATCACACAAACACACATGGATATAGACCTGAATGCATTCTGACTCATCCATGAATATACATACTTAATGTACCTCCCTCTTCAGGATTCAAAGACATAACAAAATAAAAGAAATTAATTAACAAATGAAACAAGCCATCTCATATCTTCCCATGAACCTGGTTTGAGTTAGTGGACTTGGACACAGGTTCTGTGCTTTGATACTCTTGAGAAAAGGTTTCAACAAGTTCTTGTTATCAGATCATATCTTCCTTGTATTGTGATTATTACTACAGTAGTCACTGGGAAGTGCCAGGTCCATAAGGGTCATACAGAGTCTGGGAAATGGGAGTAATCAGAATTGATGTAAGGGGAAGGATAGCTCCAATTCCTCGGATCAAGGGCTCACCAGCATCAAGGTACCTGCCATCCCCCTCAACTGAAGGGCACAAGATATGAAACACCCTTAACACTCCAAGTGTATGAATGGATGAAAGTAATGTATGTAGAAACTTGATAAGTAAAATATACAAAAATATGGTTTATAATAATCATGGGCACTAATACTGCAGGTGTCATACAGTGCCTGGGAAAGTGGGAAGCAATCATGTTTGATCCGAGGAAGGGAAGGATAACTCCTAATTCTCTGGATTAAGAGCCCTTCCTCCACATCATGACATCCCACAGAATGGCAAAAAATATGGAATGAACCTACCATAACAATGTGAAAATGATGCTTAGTCTAAATGATAAATATTTATAATATAACCTGTAATTTATTAATATGGAACTTTACGACACCAAAATTTACGGGCTATGTAGATTTTTCTCGAAAAAACTGAAAAAAGTCAGCATCATGAATAAATCCAGATCTATTTATACCGAGTTTCTTGAGTTACTTGTGCTTATAGAAAGTAAAGTACAACACTTGGGTTATCTTCATTGCTGGCTCTTGATCTTGGGAACCGGATCTGTGCTCCAGTTCCCTGAATCGAGCCTGAATACCTTCCATCCCCCCCACAGGTGCTTTATAATCCCTACGGGTTTAGCGCTCCCCATGATTATAATTTACTGCAGCATATTGTTTACCAGTTTTAATGATACCTTTGGTTAATTATTTGTCACCATTGTTTATCTACACTGTGTGCATGATGAAACAATGTAAATTTAGTTTTAACTTTCGTAATGATGACTAAAACCTAACTGAACATTATGTATCTTTCACAATATTTTATGACAGGGAGCCTAACTTGTGTAAAATGCAAAGAAAATCTGGCCCCATGTTATTACTACTCCTAAAATTCTAAGACTGACAACTTCAATTGTTCAAGCAATATTGGGAATATCTCGCTAATTTCATTCTTACCATATACACAGTAAAGGAGCTTAGGAATCATTGTTACACATTAATATTCACACAGGAATATATATTAATTCCTATTTTAGTGATTAAGTATTGTTAATGATAGTGTACAGGTGAACAGCAATTTCAATAAAGTGACTTGAAGTCAAATTAACTAACGTAACTATGGAATGTGATGTCCAGCCTATGGTGTGTCCATACCTTCTAGGAACACCGAGATGAGGAAGGCAAACCCTGCCGTGAGGGAGATCCATATTAACAACCACAATGAGAGCAAACCAAAGGTGGCCATACTTGCCCTCCCCTCACTACACACTGTTCCTCGCAACAATGATAGCAAGCCACACTAATGCCCTCACACCATGATAAGATAACGACGAAAATAATCTTCAAACGGGAAACATATACATTTAAAAAAAAAAAACTTTCGCTTTTGCAATATACATCTTTTAGATGAATTTGGTATAGCATGTGATAAAGTACATGGGGTAGGAGGCTCAAATTCCTGTTATTTTAACGAGTTTAAAGACTGCACATGGGTATCTTGATGTCCAGGAGGCCGTTCCTTTCCTACGGTTTGATAATGATGAGAGGTTATGTACTTGTTATATAAACAAGCGTGGTCATGGCTTCCTTGGTCCCAGTTAAGTAGTCGGGTAATTTCAGCTAACACATCAATGATCTCCATGACAGGATGTTCCGGTGACTTTCTAGTTTTGCCAGCGACATGACTAAATGTACTACATCATAAAAGAAATATTAATTATCTACGTGGAATCCAACAGGAACCTCGTCTGTTTTTTCTGGAATCTCTGTTAAAGGTTTTTCTCTAAATTAGCGAGGCGAGCCACAATGATAGACCTCACCTTTATATCCAGATATGGAGGAGTTTCCATCCATTTGCAGTTTTTGAAGTTATTGTACTGGCGTAGGAACGCACTAAGAAAATATATATAGCACTATCACTATTACCATGCTGAGCCGGGTCACCCCAGCGAGACAGGTCACTCCTGGATTGTTAGGTAAAAAGACACACATGCAACTAATGTTATATTTGTAAGTCATATTGTACACGTCTTTAACAACGTCGGTAATTCTATCAACACTATTACACGCTCCTGGATCACCCATGTGAGTCAGGTCATCCCTGACCTTAGACTGGGTTAACCACAGGGTGACTATTCAACCCCGGATGAAAAGCACTGTTAGAGCAAGCAGTAGAGGGATGGCGAAATAACAGATGACAGAGGGAGTTAATACAAGTACTTGGGTTGTTCGCATGACTTGCCACAGACCTGCAACTGTCCCTTCCCCTCTCTCCATACTCCCTCATCACTAACAGCTAACCATTATCGCCTCTGCTACTTGTTTATTTACGACTTTTACACACAAGAACGAAGGAACATTGCAGCAGTCATATTGGTTCTTGCTAGGCAGGTTCAACTCTCACTCACCCACGCCCATTCATCTACCCGTCCAACCTATATTTCAAGTTTGTTCCGCTCATCTAAAGTCTACTGTCAAGCAGGTACTTCCAAATATCCTTTCTAAATCTATATTACTCCAACTTAAATCCATTGCTACAAGTCCTGTTTTGGTTAGATATTTCTAACATGCCTTGATACATGGCGACTTTTCCTCATATACCTTAAGGTGCCATTTTTTTTTTCATTAGTCTTATGTGGTACTCTATTAAAAGCCTTACTGAAATCCAAATAAACATCATTTTCCTTATCGTGGTCCACTGCCCCATTTGCCTTACTGAAGATGGACAGTAAACCAGTACTTAGATGACTTAACTCCTGAGTTCAAGATTGGATTTATATTAACCACCTTTCACATCTCGGGTACACGTTATGTCCCAAAACGCTAATAATTTGGTCCCAATTTGGTCCCACCGAGGTCTCCCTCTGTGGCTTAAGTCTGCAGGTCGGTATATTACGCCTAAAATCAATTTCTCGACGGCCTTCTAGAAATTCTACCCCAAACAGACTGTGTATATTCCTTCGATTTTCATAAACGTTTTATGCAGCAATTTGTCTTCTCGAAACATGTAGCACTAACCCCCCCCCTTCCCGATGTTTCTAGCAACATGTTCCCTGAACTAAACCTGAATACCTTCCATCCCCCCACATGCGCTGTATAATCCTAGGGGTTTAGCGCTCCCCTATGATTATAATAATATCTAGATGACATTATGTCTAACATACCACGCACATCAGTGTTACGCCATGGTACATCAATGGTTGCCTCATCAGTTACCCAGCACTGGAATCAATGTTGCCTAAATCAATTTCCCACACGGTACCTTCAATGCTACCCCACATGTACACATGTATACCCGACATAAGTTACATCAATTGTCTTCCACATGCACTAACATCAATTCCCAGATGTTCACACATGTTCCCGAACTAACGACATCATGTTACCCAGCACTGTAACATCAAGGTTTGCCTCCTATCAATGTTACCAGCATTAGGTACATCAAGTGCCTCATCATGTACCCAGCACTGGTACATCAATGGTTGCCTCATCAATGTTACCCAGCACTGGTACATCAATGCTACCCAGCACTGGTACATCAATGTTACCCAGCACTGGTACATCAATGTTACCCAGCACTGGTACATCAATGTTACCCAGCACTGGTACATCAATGTTACCAGCACTACATCAATGTTACCCAGCACTGGTACATCAATGTTACCCAGCACTGGTACATCAATGGTTGCCTCATCAATGTTACCCAGCATTGGTACATCAATGGTTGCCTCATCAATGTCACCCAGCACTGGTACATCAACGGTTGCCTCATCAATGTTACCCAGCACTGGTACATCAATGGTTGCCTCATCAATGTCACCCAGCACTGGTACACCGATGGTTGCCTCATCAATGCTACCCAGCACTGCTACATCAATGGTCGCCTCGTCAATGCTACCCAGCACTGCTACATCAATGGTTGCCTCGTCAATGCTACCCAGCACTGCTACATCAATGGTCGCCTCGTCAA